GACACTGTTTTATGATTCAAGGTTAGACCTTAAACCTTCTTCATTAATAAAGCTCGTATGTTTAATGGCAAAAGTGAAGCTGAGTTCTCCCTTAGATACAATATGCTGCTGCAGGCCTAGGCTGCTAGAGTATAGTAACTACCAAAGTGTCATTCACTACATAAACACATAAATTAATGTTACCTTATTAAACATGTTTTATTTTGCTCCTCTAGTTTGTACTCATTCACTCTCACCGCACTGTATTATTGATATTGTTGTTATTTAATGGTATTAAAATCTATAGCTGTTTAGTCTAATCTAATATTATAATGATCTATCCATCTGTACGTGTTATATTTGCTCATATGGCTTTACAAATAAAACAAAAGTGACTGAATGTTTGAGCATTAACTGCTCAAGGTAAGGAGTTTTGGATGAATGAATGTTAATCTCAGGCTGTGTAATCAAACAGAGGTTAGTTTAAATTCAATAAGTGGTGGGTATTTATTATGTTATATAAACACTATTTTCGCCAGTCGTCCTTACTTTTTGACGAAAACTTTGTAAATACCTCCCTCTTCCGGACATATAGAGTATCACTTTTTTAAGATCGTATATACTGTATATATTTTAGTCGACGACAGAAGTCATTGGTACTCCCGATGAACACCAAACAGTAGCGTAATCAAGGCCATAAAAACACAAAGTACAGACCATGACCTAATGCAACTTCGGTATAAAACAAGCTAAATCAAAAACCTGGCAAATTGTTTCTCTTCTTTGCACCTCTTCAAATATGTGCTGCATATTTTATTTATTTTTTGCATATTTGCAGCAAACCTTTTAATTACACCAGGAAATTTGCTTATTTTTCTTTTCTATTTTTATATATATATATATATATTTATTTATTTTAATTGTTGGCATTTACTCAATAGAGTCAAGGTTCTATGGGGCGGTTTTCAGTATCAGTATTTTATTTTACTTAGTGGAGTTGATCCCTAGGTTACTTTTATGAGTAGAGTCTGTTCCTAAATTTGCTGATAGTTCTACTGTAATCTGTTACCCAGACGACCTTGTCTGGCCTTTTGTTTTGGGCTTCACAAAGTCGTTGCCTTTGGCCTTGAATATAAAAGAGCAATATTTATACAATGCAGGGAACAAACTATCCCACCAGCTCCTCTACGCATGATTTTGTGAGATTTAAGTGACTTTGGCAAAGAAAATATATCAGTAAACAGACATGACTTCAAACATTTGCACTTGGTGCTGATCAGAGTGTGCTATCCAAATAGAAACGTTGCTTGTTTACTGTTTCCCAACATGTTTTGACCGAACGTCACTGCAAAATCACTGTTCCATCTTATAAAGAGACAGGACAGAAAAACAAATTATGAATTATATGAAACAAATTATATTACAGAATAAACATAATTCACATCGCTGAAACGTTAAAGCGTCACTACGACACACTGACGTGTACTGTCTGCAGGGGGAGACATTGTATTGCTAGTAGGCGCCGTTTAAGATGAACATAAACTCACCTGAGTTCCAAACTGGGAGACTGATAAGTCAATTCTGAATAAACGTCCACATTCAAACATCTTTGTGTCTTCAAGAAGAAAAAGAAGATTTTTTTTAACACTGTGATAACAAGTCGTTAGGTGCAACAAATGTCTTCTTCTTCTATGGGAATCGTGGCTTCACATGCATAAACTGGCAGATGGAGATGGATGACAGTTTCCTTGCTGCTCAGCTCAGAGCTGCACCAGCTTCTTGAACACAATGCCCTGATTATAGCATGTGACACAGACTGGATATTGTTTGGTGGCAGGGCATGAAAAGAAAACTCTATGGGTCTTTGTAAAACAGGTCAGTTCTGTGAGGTGATTAACAGTTGGCTGTGTCAGCAGAAAGATGTGATGTGATAATTCCCACAGCCTATGAACCCTGAGAGGAACTTCCTGAGGGTCTGCAGTCACTCTAACTATCCTCTGAGCCTTTGTCTGCTGTTTCAGTGACTGACATGGTCGAGTCAGATTTGATGTCATGTGTGGTGTTGCTTCGAATTAGTCTTAGAGGCAACCGGAGCCCACCACCCATCCCCCTCACTGCTGGGAGAAGACCTTTTTTCTCTTCTGCAAAATCAAACCCAAAAGATCCAAAATGCAAAGCAGACATAGCATTTGTGGATAATTTTCCAGAACTACAGAAACACAGAACAACCCTAAGGCAAAAACCAACCAAAGCAAACTAAATGTTGTCTTTTTACTCACATCTCTGTGTTAGCTGTTGATGTAACAATAACTGGAACTTAATTATCTACAATTAACACTTTTTTCTATTCTAAAACAAAATAGTGTCTGAACTTGAATGTCACATTAGAAGTGAAGCAGACCTTCCCATCTTATGTTGTTGTTTATTCTAAAGGCAAAGTATTTTTGATTAAATAAAGGGCATATGAGGGCATTTGCAAGTAGACACTGGGAATGTGTACAAGGGAGAGAGGATCTGTAGTTATGGGCGTGCCCAAGTGTGTGAAGTCATGGTTCCAATCCGGGTGATCCCTTTCTGACCAATCAGCAAGAAGCAGGAGGTTTCTGGAGGAGGTGGTCCTTGAATGTTTCAAGGTTGGGGGTGGTTGAGGTCTAAAAAAGCTGACTGGAGGAACTGAACTTAGTGGTGGCAAGGATCATGGTCTGCAGAGACACTTCTGGGACAAATATGAATCAAATGTAGAAGGAAGCAATTCAGCAAAGTCATGTGCTGGGATACATACCATGTCATCTCACAGTAAATAAGGAAGATCATATGTATCACCTCAAACCAGACAGGATTAAAGTCTATGATTATTGATGCTGTTGACATGTAATGATTCATTAAGAGTTGCAACCACAAAGTAGAAGCTGTTGAAGATCCCCCATCAACATAATGTATTTTACTTATTGTCCAATCCTTGGTTCCCGGGGGGGTTGAGTTTTCCAAGTAGTTGCTTGGCGAGGGTGGGGTACACACGGTAAAGTTTGCCATAGCTACACAAACATAAAGAGACACATTCATACTTATGGCCAATGTAGAGTCCAATTAACTCACACTCACACTCACACACAGTGGGAGAATGTGCAAAATCACACGAAAAGCCAGAGCTGGAACTTGAACCAACATTTCACCGAATGGTTCAATACTAAGAATCATATAATTTCATTCTCAAAAGTTTACTTCGATTTTGGCATTTGATGTTTTGGGGAGTTGGATCCTACGATAAAACTTGTTCCTGACCATCAGGTACTTTCTGCACATCGTAATACTTTTCCCAGAATACTTCTAGTTCTTGGTGCTGATGGGGAGTAGCTGTCAAGTAGTAGTTCAAAGCATCTGTTTAGGCTGACGATCAGACGTCCAAGGTTTTAACACCAGGATGTGGTGGTTTAGCCTGTGATTAGATAGCTAATGACAGATGAGTGCAGTAAAACAGTGCGGGAGTGTGAGAAAGAATTGTTCAAGATGAGTTTTCGTAAACTATGATGTAAGAAACTATATACATTAATTTTTCATCACACTTAGAGCCCCTCCCTCTCTTGCTCCCTCTCTAGCAGTTCAAATGCCCATGTCCACGTGCCGACAGAAACCTAAACCTGTTACTGTTAACAAATGAAACACATGTAACCTTCATCGCTGCTTATTTTGTAGGAGACAATAAAAATGTACGTGTCATTAGAAAAAGATGCAGATGTCACTACAAACAAACACACACACAGGCATACAATGTATCCTCTGTATTTAAGCAATCCATGATACAGGAGCAGTGGGCTGCACTGAGGGAGCTGGCAGCTTCTGATGCTTGCTCAACACCTCACAGCCCTGCCAAGACTGGGATTTCAACTATCAATCCACAGACCACAAGGCCAATCCCCTGACCTCGGGCGCCCCTGACATGCCCGAGAAAGTGGTTTCTTACAGTCAGACAGGCTGTAATTTATACTAAAAGGCACTCTACAATGTATTTCAATAAGTTTTAAAATGAATCATTTATGTACTAAAACGGAATCTGATCCTGATCCCCCCACACACAGCACGCATACTTCATCCATCTTACTTCTACTCTCTCCGAACCCCCCCCCCCCCAGAACTAATTTCTATACATTCTAACATTTTTACTCCATTTTAATGTTGAAACTATACTTTCTGTTGGCTATTACCAGTGACTAATGGTGACTAAACATTTTCCCATCTTCCAGCTGTCTTTGTCTTTTTTACTTGAAGACTACCTGGAAAAAGTGAAGTCTTTATACCCCTTCCCAAAAATGTGTATGTTTTCATGCATTAACCATGAAAGTGTGACCCGTTTATCTGACGACTAAGATACAGCGGCCTGTGATGATGTCATGTTGAGTTCACTTCCACTTGTTCTGCTGGCCATTTCCTAAAAACCACAAAGAGGAATTATGACCTGTTTCTGTCATTTGCGGCACACACACAAAATGTCTGAATTTGGCTTCCTATCTGTGGTTGTGCGTGGTCGTCACACTTTGGTCGCAGAGACCTCTGACACTGCTTCCATTTTAAGATTGCACCCACCAATAATGGGCTAAATACAGACATGTGGGCAGATGTTTTTATAGAAGCCATTAAAGAAGTTAAAAGGATACTAATCTTTTTTTTTGTTAGGTGATGTAACTGAAAAAAAACCTGACACCTACCTTAATATGGGAGCTTTTATTGTAGTCTGCTCTTTCAGTCATTTTTTGACCTTTTACCATAAATAAGTATCATTGTACATGTATATAAAAGTCCACCTCAAATATCTCTTTAAGATGTGCAGAATAGTCACAACCTCCACACAAACAAGTCTGAATATGCCTCTCCACTGTCTCTGCTCCTGTCCCTGTGCTGAGTTCTGGCTTGAGATTCCAAATGAGTTACATACCTGTGTTTGTCTACCAGTACGAGGCTGAAAAGTAAAGAGTGAAGTGACAGAAAAGGATGGAAAGGAGAGGTAGAAGTGGGGAAAGGAAGCAGAGAAGGAAAGACTAAAAGAGCGTATCAGAAGAGTCCACTAATGAGGACAACATGGGTGTCCAACACTACTGGCTGCTGCTGATGTTGTTGGTCATCTGCCTTGACTGGATTACAGGTAGTGTCTCGTTGGAATGTTCTGCGAGTGCGTGTGTTTGTGTGGTTTTAAACATGCCAGGCTCTGCATAAGTGATTAGCACTTGTGTACAACTACAATGGTCTTAATAGTGTAGGTGTTTAATTTTACACCTTTAAAGGCTGTGGCCGACCAGTCCTCCTCTCTGCTCAGACCTGTGTGGACGTGTTCTACTAACAGTGTTGTAGGACTGGTCTTCATGGCTTATTACAGGCCTATTGTAGGTATTTATTTACTTCAACTAAAATACCTGTTTATTAAAGGTTTAGGGATGTGTTACTTAAAAGGGAGAGGCAAACGTGAGTAAGTGAAAACATATTCCGCAGGACAGGACATGCAGTTTTGCCCAGTCAGGACTTACACGTCCGTTTGAACACTGTATTTCAGGTTGTGGTTATAGGGTTGGTGAATAAAAGTGGTATTATGACCTAAGCAGTAACAGTTTATATATAACATCACTTTTTATTTTTATTTTGATGGCATCTTAAATAATGTTATAGTCAATACGATAAACAGCTTCAAACAACAAAGTCACTTCCTGATCAGTTATTGTAAACACAAAATACTCACAAATGTTAAATAAATACACTAAGGCAGATATTTAGGGTAGTACACAAGAGAGTGTATTGAATGTATTGAAAAACAGACCCCTTTTTATAACCTTTAAAAGAAAGGAAATACTTTAGTTGCTGTAAAACTAATGAAAGTCTTGCACATATAGCATGAAGTCATCAGCATATAGTCACACCTTCCATTTCCAGATGTTGTATTAACTGCTGCACCTAATTAGTAATTATGAAGTGGATATTATAGTCAATCGTTTTTTCTTACAAACTTTGTTTCTCCTTGTGTTTATGCATTTAATTTCCACTAATAAATAAATAAATAAATGCTTAGAAATCCATCACAGAATAAAGAAAGAGATTATTTAAAATTGGTGACTTTGTTTTTTTTGTTTGTTTGTTTTTCAGGTGTTCTGAGTACAATCAGCCCATATATAAAACATTATGAGGGCTTGTCTTATGATAGAGGACATTTTCATAGGATGCACTTGAGAGCTCGGAGAACTCCCCCGTCCGAGGAGTATTCGCTGAAGCTGGATTTTACTGCTTTTTACAGGTAAAGTAACTTTGAACGACCTGGATATTTATGTAAGAGCTGCAATACAATTGCAAATTAATTTTATTTGCACACATTTGTTGTGTTATATACACAGAAACCAGAATGAAGAACATTGTTTTTTTTGCTGGTATTCTTGATATTCACCATATTTACCACCGTGTCACCCAGCAGAGTAACTCAATAACCAGTGGGAGTGACCTTGTATTGTGCACCACGTGGCTGTATTTATAATATTGTTTTGTTTTGAAAATGTCTCACTGTTTAGCCTAATAACACATGTTAGCAGTTAGCTAATAACTAGTGAACTTAATGACCAGTCATTAATAGGCCTACACAGGTTGTCGAAGCTCGGACCTCAGCCCTTTGCGTATCTGTTTCCTCTCAGAATGTTCCGCCTGCGTTTGAGACGAAGTACTACTGGGTTTTCCCCAAATTTTATGGTGGTCAGTGAGAATGGCTCCTCACCTGCTGATCTTTCTCATATATATTCAGGCATATTAGAAGGTGGGTGATACTGGTAACAGCGTTCATACTTCCAAGATCATTTTCCTGTAAGTTATCTGCATGTCTAATTTCTCTTTTCTTTTTTCTCCTGCAGGTGAACATGGGTCTGTGTGCCAAGGCTCTGTAATGGACGGTCAGTTTGAGGGAACCATCTATACAAACAATGGGACTTACCACATTGAGCCAGTCCATAGATACATAAGCAACCAAACGGACCACCATTCTATAATTTACCATGAGGACGACATAGGTAAGAAACGTCTTTATTTTCTTTAAACCACTTCAGTAACCCCCTCTAGCTGACTTTGTGATAAACGCTTTTATCACCCAGTAAAAGGCTGAGGTCAAACTCACTTCACAGCTCTTTCCCATCTTACTGACAATATTAAGCTGTGATACATTTTCTTTCCACACATTTTTCTCACACACTCCCTGTTCCTTGTCTCCAGCTGCAGCTTGAACCCACGGGTTACTGGAGGTCGATGAACCAACCTAACCCCTAACTTGTAGAAATAGTGTAGTTATAGTTTCACAGCAGAGCCTATTTAGGGCCCTTAGTGAGGTGGGGGTGGGGCGGAGGGCGGAGGTCTGTAAGGGCGACCATAAGCAGTGGCCAAAGAAAAGATTAACTGAAAATGGTGTGACTTTTGTAAGGGGAGGGGAAGAAAAGAGCACTATTGGAAATAAGAGCATTTTTAGGAGAACATTATAAAAATCCAGCTAGATCTAATAGATAGAGAGACAGAAAGATGGATGGATAGATATATATATAGATAGATAGATAGATAGATAGATAGATAGATAGATAGATAGATAGATAGATAGATAGATAGATAGATAGATAGATAGATAGATAGATAGATAGATTAATAATAATAATAATAATAATGTCCTTGATCACCTCTGTTTATGCATGCGTGTCATTCTGTGTGCTCGACACCCGACTCCGGTGGGTCGTTTCTTTTTTTAGGACATGTTTACACTAATTTAAGACTACTTTCCGATAATCTCTTTACTTGGAATCACAATGCAGACTTTGCCAAGAAAAGAACTCTGATTGTCCTCACATCTACACAGACATTGTGGTTGCCTTCCTCCCTTTCGGGCCCCCTACCATGTCTTCTTCCGCCCCTTTTAGAAATGTCCCAAAATTTGTAATTACATAATGTTACAACTGGCCACATCCTGTTCCTCCATTCACAGGCCAGATATCTGCAGGAAACTGTGAAAGATCAGGCAGGTGATACGTTAATAAACAAACAATGTTTCCATACAAAGTGGTAAATAAGAACATGAAAGACCAACACAATGCTTATCCTCCTGTGTGTATTCTTACATCCTTTCGGGGTTTCCTCAACGGTAAAAAAGGATAACAGTTTGGCCCCTGTCTTGGAGCGTGTCCATCACATCTGTAGAACCAACAATTAATACATATCCTTGGGTTTATTTGCAAACGTCTGTTTGAACCCTCACATCACAGAGACACTAAGGTGAACCGAATTTAAAACCAAAAGTAGGAATTTTCCGTGCCTGCGTTTTCTAAGCAGTAGGAAAATCCCAGTTATTTTTTAGGTCAGGTGACCATGCCTTTGAAGACTAACATATCTATAAAAGGTGAACCATTAACCTCACATCTTGTGGCCATAAATCATGCTGTCTACACCACTGCGTATGTTAAACTCCTGATGAATCAATGACTTTTTCCTTAGTGTCTGACAGATTGTATTTAAATGCTAAACTCCCTAAAAATCAATTAAATATTTTTGATTCTTTAACCTTTTTGTCATTTTTTAATCTTCTGGTTATACCTCTGTGCACTATGTTTAAATCAAGTCCTGGTTTCAGTTGCCCTTGCCCCCACCCCCTGTGGTATTAAGTCTGTGGACTGACTGCAATAATATTGTAAACAGCTGAAATATGAATGTGTGTCTGAACACAAATGGGAAACAGTTTCTTTGTCTTTGCTGAACACTTCTTAGTATTTGCCTTTAGAAACACAAGTTAGAATCATTCACAGAAAAGACTGAACACACAGTACAAAGAAAGATCTGGAAATAATTCCTTTAGCGGGTCGACACCCGGGTTCTCGGCCTCCATAAACCCCCCACTCAGTCCAACCCAGGGCTCCTGCCATGTATAGAATGAATAGCATGTTTGTGATTGGCTGGAGTACTGGATGGTGTGATCCAATCACGTGTTGTCTTCCTTTCTCCCTGTCTGTAAACTCATGTCAAACACTGGCCTGTACTACACACACACAGACACACATACCCTCACCTTTTGCATTTGCCTGAAGTTGTTATGGGCCACCAGTCAAGGGGCAAAACATCGCCTAATTCTGTCAGTCATTCTTTTCTGTTGGCCACATGTGAAAGTGATTATTATGTCATGTGACTTTTTTGTACTGTGGAATTTAAATCTTTTTTTTTCCTCGTTGGCAGTGTTACAGACTAAAATCCTGTAGCTGTGCATAAACCTGCTAAAAGCTTTTCCTTTTCACACTCCTGCAGTATTTGGCACATTTGTGTAATTTGATGTACTGTATTTTTCATTTCTCCTGCAACTGAAGAACCCAGTTTTGCAAACACTATTGCGACAGTCGCAGTCATCCATGAGATGTTGCGAATCTCACAACTTTTACTTCACTTTTCCTTGACTTTTCCTTCCAGTGGAATCAAATCCTTCTCCTGTCTGTCACCACAGCCCTGCACTGACCAACAAACGTCTGTCTGTATATTAATTGCTTCAGCTCATGTTAACCAACCAGTGTCACTGACGTCAATACAGATCAGATTTTCAATGATTTTGATTAGAATAGATTGGTTTAATTATTAAGTTAGTTTAGATTGGATTCATTTCCGTCTTTAAACTGCTACTTTTTTCACACACTTTAAACCTGCAGCTTAAACAATGATGTGGCTAATTTATGGATTTTTACAGGCTAACAGAGTTCATACCACTAGCGATCAGTGACTTTTCTGGTAGGCTACTGTGTGCTAGACTAGTAGCGTATGTCTGTCTGTGAATGGCTCTGTGTGTATGTGTATGTGGGGCGCAAAACAGAGAACGTTAGCTAAAGTTGAGAGTAGTTTGAGCCCTGTCATGTTGAAGTGTGAGTTGGTTATACAGGAGCTGTTAAAACTCTGTTTATGTTCTGTTGTCCTCGGTGTGGCTGATAATAAAGACTTCCAGAAACTTCCCTGTTTCTGTTTACCTCTGCTGCAGACAAGGCTCCCCTGTTCTCCCCATTCCAACTATGGTCGGGGCAAAGAAACAGGACGGAGCTAATGTGTAACCAGCCGTGTTACAGGCACTGTTCGGAAAAAGACAATATTTATTTAATTAAAAGTGAAAACAAATATCCCATATTACAACGTGGACACCTGTGGCTTATAGAGAAGTGTGGTATATATGTAGAATTATTTTTTTCTTTTTAAATTTAGTGGGTGCGTCTTATATCCACGTCAGCTCAATAGTCTGGAAATTACAGTAGATTAGATTAGATTGAATCAGACAAAAGTTAATGGATCCCTTTGGGCGATTTTCTCAGGGAATCATTCCTTAACTTCTGCCTCAACTACTGCAGGCAACATCAGGCCCTTTGACTTTATTTAGTGTTTGTTTTAGGGTTTTTTTTGGTTTTCAGACATATTTACCATCATTTTATTTACTAAAATAGACTTATTTTTCTGCACTTCTTTTCTCTTTTACGTATGAACTGTTTTCCAGAATTGTTTTTCCAGAATTCCATAATAAGCCCCCATTTATATCAGCAGCATCTTTTCTGTGTCGCCTGCCAAGTCGGATCAGTTTATTGCACATTAGACAAACATAATAAATGACTTTAATGTTTCCTGACGTCCTGTCATAAGTGAATCTCCTCCTGTTCATCTACGTGCTCCTACAGGCACGGTGAGGTGAGAATAACATAACAATGTCTCATGAGTAGGTGCTGCAAATCACACAAACATAATCATGTCTGCTTTTTTTCCTTTTTATTTGATGTTTGAGATTAAAGCTCAGATAACAAAACCTTCCTGCACTTTGTGTTTCAGTTCTGCCACCGATGGCATCTAACCTCGACAGATTCTGTGGAACTGAACACCTGAAGGTCCTTGCCCAGCGTCTTGGACTCAGTGAGGTATGAAAATGTCAAGCATCATGTTGGTGATGACGCACAGCGTGATGAAGGCACTGATCTTTACACAACTTTACTCACTTTTCAAACCCATGCTTGCCTTTGAAAAGTTCGGTCCGCCTCGAGGACAAACTTTGTTAGTGCTGGCAGTTATTTTTGGGCCGATTTATTTATTTTGGGCTGTTGAGTCACATATGACAAAAGCACGTTTTTAAACCACGAATTAGAACAAAGCATACTGACGTTAGAACTCCGAACTGAGTTGTTGTGCTCTGACTTACGTCAGTGAGGAGACTGCGCGTGTTATTAAATCAGATACGGTAGGAAACAGTGTCTGCCAAGTCCATTCAGCTAATCTCTCCCCAGGGCAGCTTATTTGTTGCTAACTTTTGACCAACTAGGTGGTGGTTCCATTATCTATTGTCATACGTCGCTGTCTGGACATTACAGTGGCTACATTTGGACAACATACCTGACGGTGGAGATCATTTCCACAATTGTATAATAAAAACGATATGAACAGATGTCGATCTCAGCTGCATGTGTGTGTCGTGTTCCCATCAGCTCTGAACAGCACCACACCATCACGCTGTCACAGAGACTGTGGTATGTGACTTCAATGCACGGAAGGAGGAGAGAATCGAATAACTGTCCCTCTGAGCCTCCTTCTGTCCTAATGTCAGTACATCTTTTCTTCCACAGGAGGCATCACAGAGTCGCTCCAGACGGACAGTGGACGACTTGAAGACCAGCTGCCTCCTTCACCTCTACGCTGATAACCTCTACTTCAAAAAATTTAAATCTGTGGAGGCCGTTGTGGCTCAGGTGACACATTTGTACTCCTTTCACTTTAACTTGGTCTAAAACTGACTGACACGGGGAAAATCACTGATTAAAATGTTTGCAAGAATCTGAAGGAAGATTCATATAAACTTCATTAATACATTAATGCGGAGGGTCAAAGTACCAGAAAAAGACAAAAACCTTGTTCAGAAAACTTCCTGATTTAGTTAATCCCTCCCGTCGTCCTTTGCATTTTTGTTCACACCCAGCTTCCTCGAACCGTTTGGCATCCTGTCCAAGAATCAGTGTCATATTATCAGCCACCGGGCAAAGGACAATTCGAGGGTTAAAATAAAAATTTCCATCTGAGAATTAAATTTGACGGACTATAACAATCACGGTGGCTGCTCAGGTCTTTAGCAACAAAGCGATTTATGAGAATTTGTGAGGAGTGTTTGTTAAAGAACAAAAAAGAGGTCCGTAGGGAAGGATTTATCTGGGATTTGAGGATTTGGCTGAGTCATGGTGCTTGATTAATTGTTTGAGATTAAATGACTCACAATGAGATTAAAAAAAAACAATAGAAAATGACCCACAACCAGTCCAAGTTCAAATCTCCAGTAAGTTCTTATTAAATTCCAACTGTGAGAGAAAATGAAACTAAAGAGTGAAAAAAATGTAAATTATAATATTTGATTTAATTTCATTTTCAGATGCTCCTTTGTGGCCGCGCGGACTTAAAATGAGTGTCGACGAGAACACAATAGTCTTATGACAATGTTTGTTTCACCTAAAAAGAACATGTATCCAAAATGTTTTGTCATCTCCATTGTTATGGAAAATTCCATAGGAGCATTAAACACAACAGGACTTCCTCAGCTGCTGATTGGCCAACGCCGTCTGTTTACAAACCTGGGCCTGAACCAAATGACCTGCTATCAGGATACATGCTGCTGGAGTCGGAGTACATCTGAGTAGATCTGAGTACTTAACCCCCTAGCTTAACCTGTAGCTCTTTAATTACTCCAGAGATCGAACAGATTACCCACAGGTTTGACACCTCCTGTTACAGAAATATGTGTTAAAGCCATGAATTCCTTAAACATTATTTTCATCACCTCCCTGAGATGATAGAATATAATCTTAAAGATCCTATAATAGTAAGTCGTTCTGTTCTAAGTACAACTCACTTTTTAATTATATCGATTATGGTGTGACAGCGTTTCTTAGGAACGAACTCAAACCGGGGGTCGTATTGTGCATTTCCACTCCAACTTTCCTCTGTCCGTCCTCCATTCACCTCCTCGCCCTCCTACCTTCTTTAGATTCTTTCCACCATCAACACTCAAGCTTGTTGTTGTCTCTGGTTCATTGCCAAACCTTTGTTGCGAGCGGTGAGAAAATATCACAGCAATATTGCCGTGGTGTGATCTCTTCGTGTAAATAGAAAGTCTAAGTTGACCTGGTTTTCCTTCATCTAAGGTGTCAATGTTTACGTCTCAGTGTCTCAGCAGGCGTTCCTGTGCGTTCACCTCCTGCGGTGTAGAGCAGAGACTCTTGAAATGTGACTGTCTTTTCACGTGCCTCATAAAACGATCACAAGGCTACACCACTCCGTGTGGTGATGTTTTTGGACTTTTATCAATGATCGGACGAAAATGAACCAAGAAGGAAAACAGACCCCTTCATTTTCCATGTGCACCACTGTACTCACTGCTGTGTACAATGGCTCCCCCTGCTTCTAGACTTGTGGGCCACAATGGTCCTAAAATTTGACAGGGAGCTGTGTTAGGAGCAGATAGATGGAGCGTTTGTGTGAAGTAAGATAAAAGTCATGCATAAAGGCTAAAATGCTAAAATGCTTTTAGCCTTCTCTACGCCATCTATAGGGAAAACGGTGACATTGCAGGGAAAAGGCAGAAGTATAATCACAATACAAAACAATTATATAATCTGGACAAGTTTGGTGGACCAGATTACAAAGCTGAACGGGCCGCATCCGGCCCCCAGGCCTTAGTTTGCCAATGCCTGTTCTAGACAATGACGGAGGACATCACATGACAGTTGATCGTGTTTTCTGTTTTCCTCAGGTCTCCTCATATATACAAGCTGTGAACGACATCTTTGACAAGGTGGACTTTGACGGAATCAAGCTCATCAACTTCAAAGTCAAATCTCTCACAGTAAGAGCCTTAATCACGACTGTCTTAAAATGATCAGTTATCCACCACCGGTAATGCTGGCAGTTCATGTACTTCAATATCAAGACGTCCGTGTCAACATAAATCAGAGGCTGACGGGAGGTGTAGGTGGTGCCGTGGTGAGAAACACACTACTGTAGGACCAGCTCTCAGCATCAATGTGAAATATGATATCACCCCCTCCCCTCCCTCCCCCCCTGTGTGTAGGTTATCACTGAGGAGGACAAAACAGATCCTCTCAATCGTCTCTATATCGGCCCTGAGAAACTGTTGAGTTTATTCTCAGAGAACAACTGGGGGAACTTCTGCCTGTCGTACCTGCTGACAAACAGAGACTACAGTGGAGTGCTGGGACTGGCCTGGGAGGGCAGGGCGGGTGAGTCACTGCATTAAGGCACTGCTGAGTTTTCTACTTCATTGGCCTTGAAATAGCACACAAGATCAGCTGAGGCTGTGGTCAGAGATTCCAAACACACACACACACACACACACTCAGCTAATCACCTTGACCTATTTGACCACCGAGTTTTACTGGTCAACACCACTAAGAGTGGGAAAAAGAATAATGAAAATACAGCTATACATATTAACAGTAAATCCAGTGATGGACACTAATGACATACACCCTGACATTAAAAACTGACAACACCAAGGACACACCGTGGGTCTGGTCCATGACCAGCCTGAACAGTCACCTAAGCTCTCAGTGTTTACTATAAACACCCATTACTGTGAGCTGTGTGCTGTGTAAAGTCAGTCTCAGTAGCTTTATTGTCTGTGTCGGTACTGGGTCTGTCAGTGAAAGTGTCAGTTGCTTTAATTGATCTGTGAAATTAATTTTGAATTAATTTTCACACAAAGGTCAAATGTCATGTTTGACTGTATGTATCCACTGGCCACCTTTAGTTGCTCTGATACACAGTCAATACACATTGTTTTTGCACACACTTTGGGAAAAAACATTTCATTCACCGAAGCACCTTGATCTTAAAATACAATCTCAGCGTCTGTTCTTACTGTAGACTGACTATTGAGAACAACAGCCTCACTGAGGTTTGGACAGAAACTCCCCACACGATACACAAGGCACCGTCAACATAGACAGGGATAAATAAAATCCACAAATCTATGAAGCCAAATATGAGTTATACTTTTGAATATTTTTGACATTGTTTCATTTTAATAACTCTTACTTAATAACTTGTTTCAGTGTTCCAGCAAAAAAAATATCTTTTACATATTTAAGAATGTAGATTTATCTCAATTACTTTTGATTAACTGTGATTAATTGAGATTACTTTATTGCGCTATTCGTGATTAATCCACAGCAACCCTGTGATGGATCAGATTATAGATTCATGTTATGACAGTGACAGTTTCACATGTGTGCAGGACTTGTAGGTTGGGGTAAAGTAAACAGGTGGGGCTTCATCACACATCAAACTGAGCCCCCTTTTGTTCGCAATAATAATGGACAGGATGAAACACGAAGTCAAACAAACGAACAATGTAAAGAAAGTATAGAAAAGGTGGAGACGAAGGTCAGGGTGAAGCTTTAGAAGAACGTCCAGCCCACAGTACAATCAACATTACACTGATGTTAGTCGATTATAAACTTTCTAAATAATATCAAACATAAAGCCCAATCTTTTTTCCTTTTTTTCTTCTATTTTTTCTTTATCATGTATATATTGTCTCATATCTTAGTCTTTATATTTGTATTTCAATTTTCAACATATAACATGCATAACCAAGTCCAATTCCTCGTAATAGTAAAAACACACACAAGTCCAGTTCACTTTCCTGGATGTTACAATGTTGTGTGAAGATGGAATTTACTCACAGTCCCTTTCAAGGGATGTTTACAAGCAGTGTTTTGGTGTTGGACCCCACAAGCAAAGCGTGACCGAACTTCTCAATTCATGATCCTGAGTCATTTGCATCATAATCTTCCTCAGCCAACACTGAGTGAGGGCTCAGAGAGGGAGGACATTTGAATAACAGGGCAGGTTTGTTTTCCCCCTGTTAAATCATTCATCATTTACATATAATTAAAAAAAACATCATGATACGAGTTCAATTGATCCAATAAGTTAGAAACACATGCGCAGATTTAAAAAAACAAAATTGAGGTTGTGCTTTTTCTCTCTGTTCTTAGTGTCAGTTATATTTGGATTTATGATAATGGATTCGTTTAGTTTACGATTTAAGGATTCAGATCTTCAATAGATCTTCGTTTTATCGTCTACAGCTGGGATTCTGAGAAATGGGTTTGGTTCTTTCGGAAATGTAAGTGGAGTTACCTCTGTTTAGAAGTTTTCTCTTCACTTTAGATGTAGGTACATGTGTTTTATAATCTCAAATGATCGACTTGTTGATCTAATGTCTAGGAAACGTCCGTCGTTGTACCTTTACACAATTAGGAACACGTCAGAGATTTCAGGAACAATAGTCAGAAAGTAAAATAAAGTATCTTTATTTGTTGTGATACATTGAAATACTGTTGGAACCGTTTGATCCTCCCTGACAGTCCGGTCACACACACCGTGTGTGTGTGCATTGTGTTATTGTTGTGCCGGAGGAAGTTGCAGTGGGAATTCTTGTGGTGGGAGGTTCTTCTCTCTAGTTTCTATGACATTGTCCCATTCGCGGCATTTGATTGGCTGAACTGAGGGGCGTGATTGCAGACCATCAAAATGTCATGTGACTAGGGAGCACCAAACACACACACACACACACACACAACCTCCAGACGTCTTAGTGAGGATTGGTGACTGCATTCCAAAGTATGATTGCCATAGGAACAGCTTATGTGAGGAACGCACACACACACACACACACACACATACACACAGGATTCAGTGACATTGTTGTGACTTCTCATTCTCATGTGACTGTGTGTAAAGAGGGAGCAGAGCATTAAACCCAGGTAATGTTTGGCCTCCAGTATCAGATCCGATGAACCACCGTCCTGCTGCACTTTCTCAGTGTACGGCAGGAAGTCCTGTCACCATGGCATCATGGTGGGAGAACATAATGCACCAACGATCCGTCACCCCCGCGCCCCTCCACCCCATCAGTCACACAAATCACTCCCTTTAACCTCTCGTGTTTCGGTCATACGTCAGTGGAGGGTCAAAGGGCGTGGCGAGTAAAACTCCACCTTCTGTGAGATCTGAAGACGAGGACCATTCACTCAATTGTCCTCATCAAAGAGACCACTACGTTTCACTTGTGTGAAGTGTGTTACACTACAAAAGCCAAAATAATCAGACGTAAAATCGAAATGACTAAGTGCACATAAACATAAAAAAAAACATCTCAGGAGACTGGATACATAGAGATTTCAAATGCAGTGGAGGGCATTTCTTATTTTAAAAGGCAAACAATTCTACAGTGTTGGTTCCACTACAACAGACACTGATTTTGTACATAAACAAACTGTACCTTTCAGTGAGGTGGAATGTTAAAGTGGAGGAAAAGATAATGATGCGGTGCACTTGTTTTTGTGTCTTTCTTTCTTGAATAAAACGACATGAAAAACAGAGAAAATGAGTTTGAACTCAGTTCTGATAAAAAACTATTTACAATTTCATCCAGTTTTCGTACATTTTAAATTTAACTTAATTATTCTTTGGCACCTGACAGGAGCTGGCTGAGGTTCAACAGGTTTGGCGTTCAGCCATTACCACCACTGGGGGTCTCTCTTCTAATTAATACATTGCAAACACCAAAAAAACACGGCAGCGTGACATCGGAGAAATCAACTTCCATGTTGAACTCTTCCAGTTTGGATTGATTCACATTCCCAGCCAGTGGAATAATTCTACATCATACTTTTGCTTCAATCTGATCACCTGCCTCCTGATACAATAGCAATGACTAAGTGACTCACACACACAGCTGCATCATCGTGCTCGGTTCCAGCGGTAGGATTTATTTGACAACTATTTGTAAAGAAAAGGTCGACACCCAAACTTCAGACTTTTGAAGTCGGTGCTAAATCTGTTCAGTTGGACAAGGGTTTCCAGATCAGGTGACACGGTTAAAGAGACGACTTTTCAAGATGTTCCTGAGGAAAGAGAATCACTGGCCCTCCAGGTGCTGAGGCTAAAACAGAGAGAAAAATACTTTACTGTTTTTTAATCAATATTTAGAATACCTGTACTCATTCATCCCTAAGTAATATTTTTCCGAGCCTCTAAACTCCATCTCAGAGATGTCTTTTTTTTAATCCTGATACTTTTCAACCGTCTCTTTTCTTCACAGCATTTGCAGTGAGCTTAGGAAAATATTCTGCTGAGAGATGAACCCAGTGCTGAGAAAGTTCTTCCCAGATATTTCTTGGTATTTATGGTTCTAGCCATTTAATCCCCCTCTGTGGGGGGAGACATTTCTCATGCTTAACTGAATTCAATGTATTTTTCACTCTGATCTCCTGAGGACAAACTTACTGAGATTCCAAAGGCTTCAATATTGGACACATCTTCCTCACAGGACTTTGTGCATTATTCTCCAGGCGAGTCCGTGTGAATTTATGCCAAACATTTGTTCGTCTCCAAAAGCTGTTTCTTTGGCTGCTAGGTTGAAAGCTTGTTGTGAAAAAAAATAAAAATTACGTAAGAAAATAGTCTTTCCATAGACATTTTAAATCGCTATTAATTATTTTTATTTCCTTTATATATTTTTGTTTTACATATTTTATTATCTAGTGTGCTACTTTATTTTAATTTCAAAGTTAATAATAACTGATATCTGTGTAATCTTTATTATATTAGATAAACTGGAAGACTAGTAGGATACGCTAGTTTTATATGGTATTCAAATACTGAGCTAACGTCAGTATGCATCAGATCAGTTTTCACAACATGATGTTGGTCTTTTTCACCAGAGTTTACCCAAAGAAGTTGTTTACTGATTTTGGTTTCCTGTCTGGCACAGTAACTAGGAACTAAAACCTAATCCTACTGAGGTAGAAGCAAACTTCAGTAGCAGAAAGTTAGGATGAAGCGGACTCTTGTAGATGGGTCAGGGTTAATCATACGGTTCTGGTTAGTTAGTGCAAACGCATGAATTTAAAAGTTAAGCTTGTGTAAGGGCTTTGTGTGTGAGTGTGTGTGTACATAGGATGTGTGTGATCCACAGTGTTTATTTCTTTGTGGTGTACTTATCCGGCAGACTAAGAGCCCTTTCATTACGACTTCTTCTGAAGAGAGTACAAGAGGAGGAGGGGAAACTCACTCCAGGACCACTCTGCTCACGCTGCCAAAAATCACAACACTGCTTTCCAAAAAATGTTCTTTCTAGGAAACTCGGTTCTAATTTAAAAAAAAAAAACATGGGGCCATTCTGGGACAAAATGAATTCAGTGTTCTGGAATAGCGTCAGCGTGGGAGTTTTGTTTGGACACAGTAAACCTCTTGTCTCTTAGCTTTTCCAAAACAGGCGTTTTTTTTTTTTTTTTTTTTACTTTTACAGTTGTTGTATTACTGCAACACTGTATAATCTCACTTCTCTTCTCACACCTGTTTTCATGGGAAATGACCTTAGAGTCACATGTTACAGCGTTATGGTCCCGGCCTCCTTCTTCACCATCACTGTGTGTTTCTACAACACCAGTGATAGGGGGCATGTTTGTTTGCTATTTTTCAACCCCTCACTGTTCGTCATGTTTCCTGGACGTCACACATCCACCCACTGTGTAATGAAAACAAGCAGCGAGTGGTCCACATTCATGGGACCAGTTCCCATAGTTCTCAGAGACACAGAGTGAACTCAGGTTTCTGTGAAAAGGCACTGATTACATGTTAAAGATGTGTAACCCCAGACGTGCGCCCCACATGCCTGAGTGCTGCAGCTGACCACATTGTGTAACGGGGTCTTACATAAACACTTGACTGCCTGTCTGTCCATGTGAAAACAGACAGATGTTTGTAATTGTGGCAATACCTGTGACGAACGGGCATTATGTAAAGCCAGAGGCAGGAGAACCAATGACGGGTAGGATTTAAGAGGCCGTGGGGTCTGGCCCTCTGCCTGACTGACCCAAGAACCTCAGAGGTCAATGACCTATTGCAACTGCTCTTACTACCAAATTATAAGAGTAGTATTTATATATAGTTAAAGTGCCCCCCCCCCCCACGGTGTTCAAATAACGACATGTGTCTGTTGTCACTTGACTGTGTACTAGAGCACTGGTCAGCTGAAGACTTATTGGATAATTGTAGATATATACAATTAGAATTTGACGAACTTCACAAACCTAATTAATGTGTAAGTTTTAAAGGCATATACACACACACACACAAGTACACATAATAAAGTACTGCGACAGAAGAGCAATAACAGTTGGCCTGTAACTGCAGGTAACTGGGGAGGGATATGTTCAGAGTACACCACCCTGCGTAACGGCCAAATGTCCACCCTGAACACTGGTCTGGTCACGGTTCAGAACTACGGACAGTTCCTGCCCGCTCGACTCGTCCAGCTCACATTAGCCCATGAACTCGGCCACAGCTTAGGATCTCCGGTAAGTTGCCTTCTGTTATGTTTTCCTGAATAACGTTTGTCTATTTTCGTCTTCTTCTTGTGAGTTGGCGAAAAATGTCTTAAACCTAACCTCTGATGATCCCTTGCCCACCTTTTTGGACAGATTCTGTCTTCTCTTCTCTCTGCCATATCGTCACGACTGCTGTGCATGATGGGATACATTAAGTGCCCTTTATAGTGGATGACTCGCTCACTAAAAATTCACACACCACTACCAAATTGTGTGCAGTGCACCATGTAGGCTATAGGGGGCAGTGTCAGATATAGCCTGCATTTAGTCTAATTAAGAACATCTTTTAAGTTCTTTCTTTCGTGTCCAAATACGGTCACAGTGGTGCGTTCACTTTACTGACTCTAGTACAGTATAACTACTGATATTTTAAATTCATATATTATTTTCTAGAAATTCCATGTAGACAGCACGCAGCTTTAATTTGTCAGACTGTGGTGATGAAGTCACTCCTGTTCCTGCTCCTCAGACAGTTCATAATGGAACAACACAGCAGCCGTGGTACTTTATTAGAATATGAGCTCACTGACATTCACATAAATACGAGTACAGACAACTCTCAGTGGATTTAATGAACAAACCAATAGTTAATTGTCTGTGTATGTGTCCCTGTGACTGACTGGAGAACTTTCTAGGGTGAATCTCTCTCCTGCCCACTGATTGGTGGGATTGTAATGATGACCTCATTTAATCTTGCATATTAATTATATGTAAACAATAATGTCATCATAACCAAAAAAAAATGCTTTTCCACTGGAATAAACTGGTTCAAATTGAGGATGTTCTAAATATACACCCTCGATGGAAAGAAGCTGTGACATCATTGCATTATAAAAGTGTGTGGTGTTTCACTTATTTTAACTTTTGCCCAGTTTCAATCTGCATCACCCTCCAGGCCTGGAAATGAGGAACAGGGTATTTGGTTTTCCCATCTTCCTATTTTTCTATTTTTACAGGCAAACTTTAAACTGACCTTGTCAATTCATTCACACTTCTCTACAGTACATGACTGACAGCTGTGAAGAGCCAATCAGCAGAGTTCCCTTTTCACTCACTCAGTCTCCTGTTCTGTTGTTCATGTGTAGAGACTGAAAGGTTCTGAGATCCAACAGATAGGTTTGGCTATTTTCAGACCTTGACCACAGTTGGCTGACCTGCCGCTACCTATTGTTACAGTTTGCAGACTGGGCGTGGCAGAAAAAGACTGATGTGTGTGTGGATGGCATGTTGAAGGACAAAGAAAGCAGTGGCTGATGAAGAACATCCACCACATCCTTCTAGAACATTTGTTTCACCTATTCTATAATAATTACAAATTAAAATGAATAATTATAATTATTATACCTCCATGTCCCATTTTCCTGTGTCTTTAACAGCCATGTTCCCATCATCCTTTGTTCCTCCATCTCACACACATGACCACACATGTCCAAACCATTCAAACTTGCTTTTCACTCATTCATCTCAGAAATCCTTATTTAAAGTTATCTACTTCCTGCCTGGTCATTACCAACTCTGCCACCTTCAGGCCATCCTCCTGTCTTTCAGAGAGTGCCCCCTTTTTCAAAATGCTCGTCATGACATGTTTCAGTGCTGTCTTTGATACTTTAAAAACAACCTCCTTCCTTGCAGTTTTTAATCAACTTATTCACCTTAAAAACCTCACAGCACTGAGACAGGAAGTTAACAATAAAAATTCCTCTCTCCATAATTTACTTTTCAAGGGCAATTTTGACGTGCAAAATTCCTCCTGTGGGAATTCACAATAAAAGTAGGCATTGTTTGTAAATTATTTCAACAGGAAATACGCAAAGTGGCTTAAAATTAGTTTGAGGAAAACGGACCATACGTGTCAGAATATCGCCAAAAGGTCATTATCGAGATAAAATCCTTCTTCGATGAAACTCTCCCAGTTTGTAGCTCTTTAATTACCCAGATGGGAACAGATTGTGCTGACTCAGCCTTCAGAAACGCACACAGTTTCAGAGAAGCCACTGTTCGTGTTCCGCGCTTTGTTTTGCAGCACGATGAAGGCCCTAACTGCGGGAATCTCGGTTCCACTGGTGGCAAAGGCAGATTCCTGATGTTTCCTCAGGCCACAGATGAGATACGTGAAAACAACGACCGATTTTCCCCCTGCAGCGTGGAACACATCAGCAAAGTCCTCCATCAGAAGAAGGACAACTGCTTTGTGGGTAAGGAGCAAAAAAAACGCAGTGGCGTAAACCTGCGTGTGCAGATTTGTGCTGATGTTTCCGTTACCCTGTTCATTTATCCCATTAAATGATAATCATGGTCTGTCGTGACTAACAGGACTGGAATTTGTTTATAAAACATGTCCCTGTTGTGTGTTTGATCTTTACTGCCCAGTCATTGACCAGCCCATCTGTGGAAACCAGATTGTGGAGGGAGATGAAGAGTGTGACGTAGGTCATAATGACACCGACCTCTGCTGCCACAGCGCAAAAGATCCTGTCGGGGTTCAGTGTCGCCTCAGGAAAGGGAAAGTCTGCAGGTAATGTATGAACTGTTCATTAGTCATGACTTTAATCTTATTATTAATGACCTGAACCCCTGTGAGACACCTGGAGGAACAGACTGGTCATCAGAGTTAGTCAACTGACCTCATTTAATTGACTTGACTTTATTGACCCCAAAAAGCAGATCAGAACTTATCAGAATATTTGGTTTCTGTTCATGAACAATAAAATGCCAAGTTGAACTGCAAGTGATAAAAAGTGTTAAAAATGTAAAAACAACTCTTGTAGTTGTGTTGATCTATTTCAATTGTCCCTGTTTAAATTGTTCAACAGAGCAGTTACAGGTTGTTAAAGTCATGTCCATAACCCTACAGTGGCTGGAGGTCTGGTCATTTTATTTACAATGTGTTTTGGTTACAGTCCCAGCCAGGGCCTGTGCTGTGGTCAGGACTGTGGCTTCAGGCCTGTTGGTCATGTCTGTGACGAGGAGACAGACTGCCTCAGGGAGAGTGTGTGTTCCGGCCTTTCACCACTCTGCCCTCAGCCAATGGCCAAGGAAAACCTGACTGTCTGCAGCGAGGGCACACGCGTCTGCTTAAACGGGGTAAGACTGACATATTTACCCCAAACCACAAGGTGACTCACCATTCTTCACTCAAACGTCCAACATCATGTGATGGAGCTGGTCCTTGAATAGAAAAGGAAACATTCTTAATGTCAGTTGAATTCAGTGTTAGTTACAGAAAATGACAAGAGTTTCACATTCTGGGGTGTTCAGGGTAAGGTCTCATTGTAGCATAAATTCTACATGTTTCAGACATAAATATGACATGGCAGTGATTCAGTACGATCCAGTCAGGAAGAATTATTTTCTGACAGTGCACAGAAAGGCAGTGAGGAGGAACATGATGTGTTCCACCATTTTAGGTCCTGTTCTAATATAAAACTTAATCTGACTAATCTGTGTAGAATATTATATGAATACTGGATTTTCTGTATTTTATATACATACATATATATATATGCAGCAACAAAAAGAACAGAATGAAACGAAGGGGGAAAAAAGTTAAAATAAAATACCAGTTATTAACATCAAGTGTATCCATTTTTACACAACAACAAAAAGAACAGAATGAAACAAAGGGGGAAAAAAAAAGTTAAAATAAAATACCAGTTATTAACATTAAGTGTCTCCATTTTTACACAAAGAAAGACAAGCAGGAAGTCTTTTTAAAAACTTTTTATTCCACGTTTTAATATGTGATTTTTGAAAAAACAGATACATCACCTCACAACGTTAAAAATAAAAACATATATATGCTGCAGAGAGAAGTAACTTAATACTGCTGTGAATGTTTCTCCTGTAGACATGACTCTCCTGCAGTGTCACCTGGACAACAGAGACATTTATCCAGGATGAAGGATTATTGGTTTTGTTTTTCCCCATTTCCAGTCAGTGTTTACATTCAGAACGTGTGTGCGTGTGACAGGAACCTGCACACGTGAAGATCTTCATTGATCCAATAACAACAATAATACTTTTAGTTCAGACTAAGGTACAAAGACACTGAGCTCACTCACAGTCAGGGACAACAGGCAGGAAGTACTGGTAACGACAGATGACGATGATGGTTCACTGAGGAAGGCGAGACAGCCGAGTGGAGAGGTTTATATACATGGGGGAGGAGTTAACAACACACAGGTGAGGGCGGTTAGGACAATCACTGTGGAGGGAAACACAGGAGGCAGGGACAGGTGGATGAAGGGGTCATGGGTCAGAAAGAACAGAGCAGTAACAAACACAAACATGAACTCTTCTACAAGGACATCTTTGTAGCCATGAGGCCAAGGTGGTTTTACAGGATTGACTCGAGATTTGTCCTTGTCAACTGAACATGTTGGAAATTACGATGATTTATATTTTTTTTTTTTTCTCCTGTTTTAATTTGGTGTTGTTTATGTCCTCTGTGGACAGGTCACTCCTGTTAAAATAAAAGGGAAACTAAAAGGTAAAATACAAATAATCAATTAGATTTATTATATTATATTGTGGTTTAAATGGGTCTACATTTAAAGCACTAAATCAGAAAGAAGAAAGACCATGAAAAATGAATGAACAATTGACACTAAATAGACTATATATATATATTAAATTTGAAAGTAATCTAATGTTTTAATGGCACTATTTAATACATGCAGTTTTCTTCATTTTTAATTAATTTGTTTTAAATCTTGTAATGTTTTGATTTCCACATGAATATTGGTTTACAGAATCTTTCGCAACAAAACATGCTCAGAGCTTACATGAAGTCAGTGGCCATCTACCCTCGGTGTCTCTGTGTCTCCGCAGGTGTGTGCTGAGTCTGTGTGTGTCAAACATGGTCTGCAGCAGTGTGACTGTCCTGGAGACTCTATGATGGAGAAATGCCACACGTGCTGCCAGCAGCCCGGTAACCACGAACCCACTGAGGAATGTGTTTACACTGCGTGGCCCAGAAAATCATCCTGTGTCAATATCTACTGAGGTCACCCTCATGTACCGCTGTTCTGTTTGTATGACATCACTCACAATACATGCCATCCCATCTGCTGTCATGGCCAAGTAGAGCGAACGACGTCAGGCGTTTGTTTTGAAGCACTTCTTCACAGTCTGACAGACATGTGGCCAAATGTTATCATTTGATCAGCAAATACAATTCACCCAGAGCCGCAAAACTATTTTGACTTTTTAAGTACTGTAAAAAGTAGTACTACAGAATTGTACAGTATTGTTGTTTCACCTTTTGTACTAAAACAGATCGAGTGTCTCTTGACTTTTTTTTTCTGTCCATGGCAGAAGAGCCAGATACCTGTGCTAGCACCACGTCCTCCGTACTGTCTCGTTACTTCCAGAAAAAAGAGCTGCCATTGGTTGGTGGTGCTCCATGCTATGGAAACCAAGGATACTGTGATAAATTCCATAAATGCCGCCTGCTGGATGCTGACGGTCCAATAGCCAGACTGAAGAACTCCTTCCTCCATTTGGACGACTTTGATGATCTGGGAGAGTGGATGAAGGTGGTGAAAATCATGTTATAAGGCAGAAATATAACATCGTGGTAGCACAGACGTAGGGCTGAAGTCATTTTGGATGACTAATAATTCTAAATGCAGGAAGGTTCAGCACATTGTTCAGACAAACTCTAGTTTCTGGTTCCAGTCATAAACCAGTGAGTGAATGCATTTTTATAATTTGGATTTTTACTATAGAATTATAGAATAGAACTCTATTATGTTCAGTTTTGAGTTTTGACTCAAAGATATTCATGTCAAGTATTGTTACAATTGATGAGTGAACCTACAAAACCATTCAAAATGAATTTTAAAAATCCTTATGAGCTAAGTTTAATCATTATTGACATGTAGTTGTGGGCCAGATTTGGGGGGTTAATGAACTGGAAGTGGCCAGCGGACCAGAGGTTTGAGACCTTTCCTTAACTTAGCTGGTAATCAAGTTTATAGACTCAATACATTATTCTATTGTGGTTCTCAGTTAATTTTTATTTTTATTAAGTTTATAGACTTAATACATTATTCTATTGTGGTTCTCAGTGCATACTGAAAACTGTGTGAAAAACAATTTTTTTATGAGCAATGAAGTGACACTCGGAGAATTTTATAAAATCAAAGATGTTTTTTTACTTGATTGTACATGGTTATTTCATAACATTTCATCTTAACTGCATGTGAGTTTGGATGTCAGCATGAAAACTCAATGTCAGTTGATAAGGTTTTAACAGTTTTGTTTTTTTCCTAACTGATACCAGGGTGTGTCTGTCTGTGCAGGCTCATTGGTGGGCCATCCTGCTGGTTATCCTGACTTTGTCTGGAGTGATGGGCTGTACTGTCTGTCTCTGCAGTCAGACCCTCAACACCAGGGAACCTGGACTGACCTCTGACACTTGATCTCCGACACCCCTGGGAATACCACCATCCTCAGGATGACGCACACATTCCTCCAGGTTCATTTACCAGGGAGTGTCAGGGGATCCGATTTTCAAAAACTTTTTTCCATGACTTTGCTCTGTATGAACCACGTTGAAATGCACACGGATGACAAAGATTGTAGGGACACTTGCTTTTTTACTTGCTTTGCAGTGGAAACTTTGCATATTGGAACAAGTATGTGCAATTAAATGAAAAGTATGAACCCTTTCCTGGATCATCTTGACTTAAAATGTGTGTGTGTTTGAACATGTCAAATGACAACTTAATGTAATAACCACAAAGCAGTAGGACAGGGTGAGTAGGCTTACAGTAAGTCCAGACTATAAGGGAATTATCTCTCACCAGGTCTGCAGCTGCATCTACAGACATCCAAGATCTCCTCCTATAGTTCCAGGAGTCGTTCACATATTGACAGCGTCTCACTGTGGTCAGTGAAATATCATGGAAATATCCCAGGATCTTTAACAATAGCCTACTGAAAGAGCCCAAACTTAAATTGCAAATTTTTGCTGGTTAGTGTGCCTGCAGTCGAGGAGTATGAAGTGTTAAACTGGCCTGGATCCATAAAGATAAAAACCGTCTTGGTTCAGTCATTCAGAGATAGGACTTTACCATCTGGGTCTAAAGGTTAGAAACCATGAACACTGGAAGTCGAGAAATAGACCGAGTTCAAATTAGCAGAAAGACATGTATATATGTCTAGACACAAACATATGTCAGTATAGTGGTTCTCAACCTTTTTCTACTCTGTACCACCTGAGAAAACACTGATCTCTCTGAGTACCACCATGATGACCAACATTAGAATATAGCAGCGTAGGCCTTCCCTGTTAGCTTCCACCACAGGAGAGATGTTTAGAAAGATGTTTATGTTTCAATGTTGTATTAATGGTGCATGGTATGTTTCAGATTTATTCAACTGAACATGTGAAAATATGAATTTTCCCTGCGTACCACTAGAGAGCGCAGTTTGAGAACCACTGTGTCAGTAGTAAATCTGTCAAAAGCATCTCAATCATTTAATTTGATTGTTGTAACCAGATTGGAAATTTGAATTTATTTGTGTCCTGTCCGTGGTCTGCGCTAGAAGTGTTTTCACATTTACACACTGCAGGAAAGAGTTTTTGTTTCACATCAAATTCAGGTCAGACATTGGCTGACACAAGTTTTATATGTAGAGAATTACTGTTTGAAAATCAGAAGAAATGCAGAGGAAACACCCTGAGATAAACAGCCAACTGTTGGCCTCTAGGACTGCCTGTTCACACACACACACACACACACACACACACACACTCCATTATCTGATAGCCTGAGCCCTGTATTTTCAGATAAAGGATGCAGCAAAGTTACATCCAAACAGTGACTGTTTCCGATGTCAAATCAAGGTTACACCTTCCGACAACTAAAAGACACAGTTTTAGATTTTTAAAAAACCAAAATGATTCTTGCGTTCACACAAACATCCTGATTCATTCTATCTGCAAGGTCTCCTTGACACGTAAGGCGTTGGAGACGCACCTGCAAGGACACGGAGGAAACTAGAGTCAAGTACAGATTCTGCACTTTTGTATCAAAAAAACAATTAAGGATTTAAACAAAACCCAACATTTCACAAATGTTACAACTATGAGCAGCTTCCTAATTCAACTAAAAATGAAAACAAACCTTGATAAATATCAGACTCATTTTTAGAGATTTGGTTTATTAACGTCTCAACACAGGGATTATGTACAATTATTTACATGGGATTATTATAGAAATGCATATTTTACAGCAGTTTAAACTTGAAACCAATAAAGTAAACAGACTTATTCACTAGAAAAATATTTAACGGTATTTACAAAAAAGTTCACTGTACAAGTAACTTGGTTAGGCAAGGTTGTCTCCTCGTTCCAGTGCAAAAATAAAACATTTCCCCTCAGTGCAGGTGGAAATGAGCTCACAATGATTTCAGTACCGATCTCTTAGAACTGAGGTTTGGATATTGCTTTGACAATTTTTACTGAATGAGCGGCAGAAGACAATAGTACAACAAAGCTACAAAAAAATCATTCAAACTGTATTGTATACACAATAAACACTAGCCCTCCTGTTAAATGTGTCTTTGTTTTAATAACAAAAACAAAACTGATCTAAAGAGAAATCTTTATTTGATATTTGCACATTTTTAATAATAAAAAAGAAAGATGTGGCTGGAAGAAAGGTGCAGCGTTCCCACCTCTAACAGGCTGGGATTGAATCAGACTTGAAATGAACTGCATCCTTCGGCTCCACATGGTACTGAGCACTAAATATCTCTCTAGACACAATGAAGGAAAAACATATTACAGAAAACACATCAGGTACTTGTTTGAGGTAACAGCTTCGGAGTACCAACATACAGTACAGAAGTGCAGCAGCAACAAGGCTGCGGATTTTCATGTTTTCTGCATTTGCAGTGAAAATTTAGGTATAAAGTAATAATAATAATAATAAAAGCAAAAAAAGTGCGTATCAAACAGGACTTTTAGCTCCAGTTCATAGTAAGGCACGGTGATACAGTTCCCACAGTCACATGTTGTGCTGAAGTCACAGTGGTGAATGCTCTGTTTACTTCATAGACCATATGTAGGACATGGCTGTAGCCACAAGGAGGAAGGAGAAGTGAAGCTGCCCCTCAGCCCCCGACCCACTGCTTTGTATTTAATCTAAATGTGATTGGAATTTGCAAAAAATAAACTATTGTGTTCTGCAGACAAAGCAGTAACTGAGACTGTGATAGTGTGAAATAGTTTTCTGATAATTGTCTCATTTGCTTTGACTTTCATTCATTTCAATCCACTCTGAGGAACACAACAAACATTTCTGCCCAACTTCCAAAGCTCGTCTCACAGACACGTCCTCAAGGATGTATCCTGGGGTCATAGGGTCATGAAAGACAATACACCCTCTCCCGAGGTGACCCTAATCTGGGTCAATCAGACCCTGACATTTAGGATTTGAGCTGTGCAGACACATACTGTAGTTTGTTTCTCATTAAGGATCTATGGTCAGTTAATGCAATGGTAAATAACAAACGTTAGCACTTTGGTGCTAAATCTGAAGAGCATTATGTTTGTCTTCACAGTACTACTCAAACATACAATAGTACGTTCCACAGTGGAACCTAGGTACCCAAGAACCCATTATCATCTATATAACTGCCCACCAAAGACAGGGACACCTACAAAGTTCAACAAGCTAGTTAGAGAATGTTACATAGTATATACACACAGATCACCTTAAATAATAACGAGCGTCAGTGTGACATTTCTGTCCAAGGACAGGACGTCAAATAAAACCGGTTACAGACAGAGACATTATTTCATTAGTGCTTAAAAACCAGGACAACGGTTTTCAACGTTTGGACTTTTTCTTCAAACTCAGTGCTTTTCCAGGGAAACTCTACAGACCAATGAAAAAAAAACGTTTTCCTCATGTTATTGACTTGTAACACATGATGAAAAGAAAGGAACCAGGGACGTCTGGAGTCTCATTTACCTTTTGGGGTTTTTCTTCCATGAATCCTGACATCTGACAAATGTGATCTCCTGGGTTAAGGTGTGAACTTCAGGGTCTTTGACACAGAACACCAGTCTGAAAAAGAAAATTATGAGACATGAATCACTTCCCGCTGCTGATCTGTATAATACTGAAGTCAACATCCAGTGGTGTTACAGTGACCGTGGTACAGTGCACCTACTTCTGCTGGCTCTCTCCGGCTCTGATGCGGATTTTGTGAACTTCCATGTCAGAGCTCTCCGAGTCTCCAGACCACCAGGAGGAAACCATCTTCAACATGCTGGAGGCCGACCAACTGTTGGTCTCCTCCCATTTAAACTTCAACATCAGCAGGTCACCAATATCCTTCTCAGTCACCAGCAGGAAGGAATGAGTCTTATTGGTTGCAATTTTCTCCTTCCTGACAGACAAACATGTGGAATGAGAAGAGAAAAAGTCAGTGTCATGTCAGTCAATCTAACATGACAGGGTTGTTTAAATCACCATTACCAGACACGACGTTATCTGAAATATATAATAATAATAATAAAAATAATAATA